AAAGTGCTGGGATTACAGACATGAGCCACTGCACCTGATCCACTTCAGTTTTTGTGTGTGTATTGTTTTGTAAAGTATCTTCTCAGGTCTGTTGCACATTTTTTTCTTGTCTTGGCAATCTTTTTCATCATTGATTCATGAAAGAGCTTTATAAATCCTGTTCCATTTTGGCTATATATTTGCAAATATTTTTTCCCATTCTGTTGCTTGACTTTTCCTTTTATGGTGTTAGGGTCATGAAGATACTCTTCTGTATTGTCTTCTAAAAGTTTTTATTTTGCCTTTTACATTTAACTTTTTATTTCATGAGGAATTAACTTTGATTATGCCGGAAGGTGTCTTGCCACCATTTACTGAAAAGTCTGGGTTTTTTTCCCCCTCTTTTCTAAAGTGCCACCAAAGTCATGTATTATATCTATATGTATATATAAAACGTGTGTGTGTGTGTGTGTGTGTATAGATTTTTTGTTTTTAAACTAGAGTCTCACTCTGTCACCCAGGCTGGAGTGCAGTGGCACAATCACAGCCACTACAGCTTCAACCTGCTAGGCTTAGACAATCCTCCTGCCTTAGCCTTCCAAACAGCCAGAAATACAGGTGCAACCAGCATGCCTGGCTAATTTTTTTATTTATTGTAGAGATGAGTCTCACCAAGTTGTCCAAGCTGGTCTTGAACCCCTAGGGTCAGGCAATCCACTTACCTCTGCCTCCGAAAGTACTGGGATTATAAGCGTGAGCCACCGCACCCAGGCTGATATATTCTTCATAATTTGGCAAAACAAGTTCTCCCAACTTACTGTTCTGTTACAGTGTCCTTATTATTTATTTTTAGTCCTTTGTATTTTCAGTTTTCAGATTTCTTCCAAACATGCAACTCTGTCACTCTTGCAGTTTCCAGTTGTCTTGCTGAAATTTTCAATCTCTTACCAACTTGGACATGAAAATGTTTCTCCTTTACCATCAGGCTTGCTTTTAGACTCACAAGTAAGGGGCACTAGATAGACCAGAATGCTGGAGAAGAGACTTTCTCTCTTCCCATTTGCCTCCCAGTATTGTCAGCATCATCTCAGCAGTGCTTCCTGTTTTAGCAGCTGTGCTTGGTTCCCTGGGTCCAGCTTTCTTCTGACATTCTGCAGGATGTCTTTTCTAGGCTTCTAAATTCTAATAATTCCACCTTTTTGCCTTTAATAATTATGTCCCTTCTGGGCATTTTCAGTTCTCCCAAAATCTGTTTACCAATTCCTAATATTAAATTCTTTCTTAAAATAAATGATACAGTTTATTTTCCTGAGTTACAGACTTTTTTTTTCACTTTACTAGTTTCTGTCTTTCAATGATTATATTGCATCATGCATTTTTAGTTTAAGTAAAACTAAAGTTAATCATTACCTTTTGGCAGATGAAATTTTCCCAAAATGGCCATAGGAATATTTCTAATCTTACATGCTCTTCTAGAATCTTTCCACCCTCCAGTCCCCTTTAAAACCTTCAAGGACTTTCTCTTGGCCCTTTCTCACTCTCTTGCTTGCTCTCTCAGAAAACTCACCCTTGGAACCCAGACCACATGTTGTGAGGAAACTCAAACTAGCACACAGGAAGAAAAACTGAGGCATTCAGCCTACAGCCAGCATCAGGTGTTAAGCATCTGTAAGCAGGCTTTCAGATGATTCCAGGCCTCAGACTTCATGGAGCAAAAAACAAACCGTTCTTGTCCTCCTGTGCTGACCCAGCAAAATCTATGAACATGGTTTGTTTATGCAGCTAATTTTTGGAGTTATTTGTTATGCCGACAAAATAACTAGAGCAGCTCTCTATTTTCCAACTTGCATACTATTGTTATGTATTTTATTTCTTTTATGCTTGCTGCTATGGTTTTAACATTTGTATCTCCCTCCAGTTTTTTTGTTTGTTTGTTTGTTTGTTTTGGGGGGAGTTTGTTTTTGAGTTAGGTCTCACTCTGTTGCCCAGGCTGGAGTACAGTGGCACAATCACAGCTCACTGTGGCCTTGACCTCCTTGGCTCAGGCAATCCTTTCACTTCAGACTTCTAAGTAGCTGGGACTACAGACATACACTGCCACACCCAGCTAACTTTGTTACACTTTATAGAGGCGAGGTCTTGCTGTGTTGCTTTGGTTTGTCTCAAACTCCTGGGTTTAAGCTATCTTCCCACCACAGCCTTCCAAAGTGTTGGGATTACAGGCGTGAGCCACTGCACCCAGCCTTGTGTCTCCCCCAAATTTATATGTTGAAATTCTTATTCCTCAGGCTATGTAAAGTATTTTGGAATTGGGGCCTTTCAGAGATGATTAGGTCATGGGGGTGGAACCCTTACAAAAGAGGCCTGAGACCCTTCACTCCTACCATGTGAGGACACAGCAAAAAAGTGCTATCTTTGAGCCAAAATGCAGAGCTTCATCAGACCCCAGATCTGCCAGTGCCTTGATCTTGGACTTCCAAACTCCCAGAACTGTTGCTTATTAAGCCACTTCATTTATGGTATTTTGTACAGCAGCCTGAACAGACTAAGACATTTACCATCTGGGATAAATTTCCCTCTGAAATACTTTAGAATTCCATTTTGTGGAAATCTGTTGGTGGCATACTTCTTCATGATTTGTCTTCTGAACATATCTATGTATTGCCCTCATTCTACAAATATATTTTTACTGAAAATAAAGTTCTAGTTTGGCTTTATTACCTTTTAGCACATTGGAGGTATTTTTCCATTCTCCTGTGACTTCCCCCATAACTATTGTTGAATCAGCTGTCTGGCTGATTATTATACTTTTAAAGAAGTCCTTTTTATCTGCTTTGATTTTATGCAGTGTGATTAATGCATTTTTTGACATGGATTTCTTTTTATTAATCCTGCTTGGGATTTTTAAAAATTCCTTGAATTTGTCTTTGTGTCTTAGGTTAGTTCTGAGAAATTCTCAGATATTACTTCACATACAGCCTCTTCCCCATTCTCACTTCTGTTAAGGGGAATTCTCGGTAAACCTGGCCAACCTTCATAGTCTGTCTTCAGCATGTATCACCCTCTCTTCTATATGTTTCTGCCGTTTTTTATTCTTGTCATGTTTTATTCTGTGTAATTTATTCTACCCACATTCCAGTTCATTGTATGCTGTTTTTTATCTACTTACTGTTACATCCATTCACTCTTAATTTTTGTTGTGGTGGTTTTATTTTTCAGTCCTAGAAGCTCTGTTTGGTTCTCTTTTTTTAAAGCTGCTGGATTAATTTTTATAGTTTTATGGCCTGCAGATATTTTCTAATATGCCATATTAAACTATGAGGGCCAATTTATGGTTTTTGTCTGCCAGTTTCAATTTCTAAAATTTTTGTGGCTCTGATGCTGTCGTTTCTTCCAACCATATGTGTTGTTGGTCTCCTGTGAAACTTTCCACCTTGGTTAGGCCCTGGCCTTTTATTTCTCTTTCTGTTGTCCATTCCTTTTAATTTATTGCAGTCAACCACATTACCTCACCAGCTCTAGAATTTTAAGCAGTATAGTTTCTTACAGAGTGCAAGAATTCCCTCAACATCTTGAGATGGCAAGAAATTGGATCTTTTCTGTCTCTTGTTTCTTATCCAAATTTGGGCCAACTCAATTGTAAGACCCTTGAGAATATCATATATATTTGCTTCTTTTGTAATTTTTGTCAATACAATGATGTATATAAGTATTTAATAAATTTCAATATTATGTATATTAATGCACAGGCTTTATGTCCCAACTTCCATGATATCTATGGTTCTTGATTAATTGATACTGCCTCTCCATTTAAAAGAAAGCCTTGTTTGATTTTGCTTATATTGCCACACAGAAGATTTATCTTGATATTACAGTAGATCTTAAAGAAGTAGTTCTCAAACTATTGTGTAGCAGTTACTTATGTGTGCTTAGAAGGTAGATTTCTGGACCAAGGTAGAATTCCTCCCCAAGGAATTCTAATTCACCAAGTCTGAGGAAAGCTTAGAACTCTGCATATTTTCAGGCATCCTAGGTAGCTCCTTGAATTAGTTTGCTAGGGCTGCCATAATAAATATCACAGATTGTGTGGCTTAAACAACAAAAATTTGTTCTCACAATTCTGGAGGCTATAAGTGCAAGATTAAGTATCAGCCGGGTTGATGATTTTTCTGAGGTCTCTCTCCTTGACTTGTAGATGGTCATCCTGTTCTGCTAACATGATCTTTCCTCTGTAGAACATAGGCCATATATTTTCATTCTTAGTTGATTCTATGATTCCTAACCTGAATGACCATCAAAAATTTTAAAATTTATGAAAAAGTATCTCTGAGATTTTGATTCAGTAGATTATGGTCTGTGGCTGAGAGGTCAGTATTTCTAAGAAACTCTGGGTATTTGTAATCAGTCTTGTTGTGTATTGTACTTGTGAATTAACGTGATGATATAGCCTTTTGCTATCTTTGTAAGGAGGTATGGGTTGAGCTAGTGTAAAAGATGACATCAGGGAAAAAACATGGAAATGGAGAGATTTCATTTATTTCTAGTAACAAAAAATGTGACATATATTTTCATTGGAAAAGGCTTCTAGTACATTTCATGTCTCTGGCTCCCAGCTAGCTAATTAAAATGACTTATAGTTGATAAATTGGTCAGATTAGATTTTAACCAAACCTAGTGAGGGCTTTTGGGGAATTGGTAGGATTTAGAACTGGAGACTCTGCTGTGGAAATTGTATAAGGGAAATGTATTTAATTGAAGCCTAGGAAAACAAAAACTCCATCTAGAAAGTACTATATGTTTTCAACTTATATCAGTGCATGGGAATGTATGTATCTACGAGTTACACGCATATCCATAGTCTGTGGTTTTCCAGTGAATTGCTTTCATTCTGAGATAATGAAACTGTATGCTGCAGTGTTTAATTTTGGTGTCTAGGTGAATGAGTTGGTAATCAGGATCAGACAGGAGAATATAGATGATTCTTGCTAAAAGTGAGATCTTCATTTCAAAAATTTTAATTACCAAGATACATGGAGTTTTCACACTTTATTTCATGCGATTTGTGAATTTTTCTTCAACTTCTCCCTTCCATGTTGGGTTCTTGGCCTAGAAAGTGTGGGTGGAAAAACTTGATTAAAGAACCAATATTTTGGAACAAGGTGGTTCTTTATTTTCAGTGTGAGTTGATTTTCCTGCATGGAACATTGCTGGTGTGTTTAATAAATGTTGAGTAATTACTGAATATTCAGATGCTTTTTAATTTTTATCTCATCCTAGACCTGTAACTTCGTTTCTAATTTTTTTTTTTTGAGTTGGAAGAGTCTCACTCTGTCACCCAGAATGGAGTGCAGTAGCCGCTCCCGGCCACTGCAGCCTCAACCTGCTGGGCTCCGGCGATCCTTCTGCCTCAGCCTTCCGAGTAGCTGGAATTACAGGCACGCACTACCACGCCTGGCTGATTTTTTGATTTATTGTAGAGATGAGGTCTCGCCAATTTGCCCAGCCGGGTCTCGAACCCGCAGACTCAGGCAATCCACTCACCTCAGCCTCCCAAAGCACGGTATTACAGGCTGAGCCACTGAACCCAGCTTGGTTTCTAATATTTTTTTCTTCCTCTTTAGTTTGATATTATTTACCTACCCTGCTATAGTTTGAAGTGGTTTTTAGTTTAAGCTAGTAATTTCTGAAGTTGGGAAAAGTAGATTGAGGATATATCTTTAACTAATTTAATTTCATTACTGCTCTTGCCTTCTTATGTTAGAAAAGTGAATGCTGACATGTGTTTTCTTTAGTATTTTATTGTAAACACGTTAACTTTTTCTAAATCTCCAGATTTGAACCCTTAGGTATGCTACAACCATTTCCTAACTCAAGGCAAATTACAGCTAAGTACTTTAGCAGTCTCGCTGTATCCCATCCAGCTATGAGTCCCAATTCCTGAAGAAATTTTTGGGTTCCACAAAGTTTCTTTAAAATGTCAGCATTATTTATCAAGGTAAGTTTTGACCTTTTTGTAGTTTTTCCTAGAAAGTCCTATTTCTCATTTACTTTTCCATCGTCTTTCTGCTTTTAAAGGAATGTTACCCTACAGAAGATATTATTTGAAGTCTTTTTTCATATGCTTCTCATATTCTATCGGTTCTTATCATCATTCCCTAACCCTTATAACAAAGGAATCTGAAATGCAGGGAAGTTGAGTATTATATTCCTGATCACAAAACAAATTGAACATTTCTGTCACATGGTAATAGCAGTCTGCTTATCTGTTTCTAAAATCATTGACATTTATATCATCAGTTCTTTTTCAATTGTTTATTTCTATTGCCTCTGTTTTTCTTTTCCTGGTCCTGGGTAGTCCCTATTCAAGGTGTTCCACTGTGGCAGTAGCAGGGTGGGCATCCAAAACCCCCAAAGAAAAGTCATCCTTCTGGCCAGAGAAATCAGGAGAAGTGGGCCTGGAGAAGAGCTGAGAGTTGGAATTAGATTTTTCCCCCCCTAACTTCAGAGACACTGGGCAGCCCCACAGAATTGCATAGTAGCACAGGTTGCTGCAACAATTATGAAGCCCCATCTTTCTAGCTAGAAGACTAGAAAAAAGGAACACTTGGTAGCTGCAGAGTATGAAGGAAAATCTTAGAGAGGTGGGAGTTGAAAAAGAGCATTCCCTAGTTCTGTGTATGACAAGTCCCAGGCTCACCTGTGCATGAACAGATAGATACAAAGAAGATAGCAAAGGCTTTAAGAACTAAACTGGCCAGGTGCAGTGGCTCATGCCTATAATCCCAGTACTTTGGAAGACCCAGGTGAAAGGACTGCCTGAGCCCATAGGCTGGAGACTAGCCTGGGCAACTTGATGAGACCTCATTTCTACAATTAATAAAAAAAAAAAAAATTAGCCTGGCATAGTGGTGCATGCCTGTAGTTCCAGTTACTTGCAAGGCTGAGGCAGAAGGATCATCTGAACCCAGCAGGTCAAGGCTGTGGTGGCCGTGAGCATGCCACTGCACTCCAGCCTGGGTGACAGAGTGAGACTCCAACTCAAAATAATAATAATAATAATAATAAACTAAAAATGACTGGTCAAGTTCCGGGCCAGTAATCCTTGAGATATACAGACCCAAAGCAACATAAAGGCTTTGAAAACTGAACTGGTATTGAAATGAGCTTTGAAAACTGAACTGGTATTGGAACGTATTCACAAAGAAAGTGAGACAACTGGTTCACTCTAATCAGGATGATGCCTACTTTTTTTTTTTTTTAAAGTCAATCTCACTCTGTCTTCCAGACTGGAGTGCAGTGGCATGGTCACAGTTACCACAACCCCAACCTGCTAAGCTCAGGCGATCCACTTCAGCCTTCCAAGTAGCTTGGGACTATACCATACCTGCCTAATTTTTTTGAAATTTATTTATTGTAGAGACAAAGTCTCACCATGTTGCCCAGACTGGTCTTGAACTCCTGGGCTCAAACAATCTTCTTGCCTCTGCCTCTCAAAATGCTGGGATCACAGACATGAGCTACTGCACCTGGCAATGTCTACATTTAAAAAAAGATGCTGCAGAGGATTTTAACTAGACTCAGAGGCTAATAGCATAATATTCAAACTGTCTAAGACACAAAGTAAAATTATTTGATATACAAAAAGTCAGAGAAGGGATTCAGGATTAAGATGGCCAGCATGAGACAGAGTAAGTTTTTCCTATGGAGTGAGCCAAGATAGAGTTTCCTCAGCACCCAGAGAGCAGCAGATTTAGCAGCATACCCCACAAGTCTCAAAATGAGTGATAATAACCACTTAGAACAAAGAAGAAAACAATCCACCAACCTGGAATGGAACTGACTGGGCTCTTGCCTGCATAACCACAGTCTACCACAGCCTCCAGACAAAGTGGGAAAGGCAAATTATGGGAATTGGGGAGTTTTATGTTCTGCTGCAAACTTTCAGGGTTCCTTGAGCCTGGTGGTACCCCAACTCCTTACAGGAAACTGCCTTCCCCACAGCTGTGCTATGCCGTGGAGTGGTGTAAGAAGAAAGCCTTGAGCAGTGCCAGTCACCAATTCCCAGGAACTCAACTCTTACAGAGTGGAGTGGCTGCTTTCCAACCAGTTTGGGAGGGAATGGATGCCAAGGGCAAACCATAGCTGCAGACAGTTCTTGGCTGAGTTTCTTGCCTGAAAATACCTAAGGCCAAGGCGGGAGCCTGGTGGGATGCATTGCCTTAGCAACTTCTCACTCCCCTTGGCAACTCTTCTGGACCTGTTCTGCACAATAGTGTTACCCCACAGTGACCTGGGACTCCCTTCTACACTATCCACTAAGGCAGCTTAGAGTGCACACATGAGGAATGGTTCATCTCCTTTTCCCTGTGCTACACCAGAAGGCTCAAAACAGAAAGGAAAATTCCTAGAGGCCCAACTTCAGCCTAGGCTGGCAGGGGCGCTTTCTCCCAAGTGCCACCTCCTGACCAGAGGTCTGCAATACAGCCAACCAATCAAATACTGTACCTCAGCTTTGGGGAAGGCTTAATCACAGACCCCAGTTAACAATAATTTCCAAAACCCTCTGACCACTCAGGATGCTGTGAGTCAGTGCAGGTACACAGCACAGGACTACAGCTCTGGCAACTGAAAAAGTCACCACACCAAGACTATATATAACCAAGGGAACCCTATGGTGCCGGCATCAGCCCTTTACCAAATACCTAGAATAAGAAGAAATCGTGTATCCAAATGAGAAGGAACCAGAAAAATAATTCTGATGACATGAAAAAATAGACTTTTCTAACACCCCCCCAAAAAACACCAACTCTTCAGCAATGAACCCTAACCAAAGTGAAATTTTTGCAATTCCAGACATAGAATTGAAAATATTGATGCTAAATTGGTCAATAAACTTCAGGAGAAAATTGAAAACCAACATAAAGAAATTTTTAAAAACTATTAGGAACATGAATGGGAAATTAGCCAAAGGTATAGACACCTTAAAAGAAAACCAAACTGAAATTCTGGAAATGAAAGAAGCATTTAGGGAAGTACAAAATGCAATGGGAAGTTTTAACAGTAGACTAGAACAAGCAGAAGAAAGAATCTCAGAACTTGAATACAGGGCTTTCAAATTAACCCAACCAGGCAACAATAAAGAAAAAGGAAGAAAATGAAAGAAAATCTCCAAGAAATATGGGATTGTGTATAACATCCAAACCTAAGAATCATAGGTATTCCTGAAGAAGAAGAGAAAGCAACAGGTTTGGAAAACCTATTTGAGGGACTAATGGAGGAAAATTTCCCTGGCCTTGACAGGGATCTAAATATCCAGATACAAGAAGCTGAAAGAATCCACAAAGAATCATTGCAAAAAGGTCATCCCCAAGGCATATAATCATTTGGCTATGCAAAGTTAATATGAAAGAAAGAATTTTAAGAGCAGTGAGACAGAAGCATCAAATAACTTATAAAGGTAAACCTATCAGACTAACAACAGACTTCTCAGAAGAAACCCTACAAGCCAGAAAGGATTGGGGCTCCATCTTCAATCTCAAACAGAATACATGTCAGCCAAAGATTTTTTATCCCACAAAACCAAATTTCATAAATGAAGGAGAAATGCAGTCCTTCACAGACAAGCAAACTGACTGGCACTAGACTGACTCTACAGGAAATATTCAAAGGAGTCCTAAATAGTGAAACAAAAGGTCAAAATAACCAGTAGAAAAACACTGGAAATCATAAAGCTCATAGGCTTTATGAATTACCAACACAATAGAGAAAATAAATAAAACGACCAGATAACAACCAGTATGATGAATAGGATAGTAATTTACATATCATGATTAACTCTGAATGTAAGTTGTCTCAATACCTCACTAAAAGATACAAACTGGCAGAATAGATTTTTTAAAAAAGCAAATCTCTTCTGCCTTCAAGACATCCACTTAACTCACAAAGACTCCTATAGACTCAAGGTAAAGATGTAGGGAAAACTATTCCACACAATTAGAAACCAAAAATGAGCAGGAATAGCCATTCTCGTATCAGATAAAGCAATCTTTAAATTAACAACAGTAAAAACAGAAAAAGATGGCTATTATATAATGATAAAAGAATCA